CCCTCTAGCGACTTCAGTGCAAAATTATAGCTAATTTGCCTACAAACGTCAGGTGTCATAATAATCTGGCCACTCAGTATGTGTGTGTGTGTGGGTGTGTGTAGATATATCTACACACATATATAGCCAGGTGCACGAAATTCTGCACTGAGGAGGTGGGGGGGTTGGGGGGTGGGGGAGGCGGCTCAGCCCAGCCTGCACCCTCTCGCAGTCCAGGAGTCCTTGGGGGATGTCTGATGGCTTAGGCCAGGCGGGCCTAAGCTGTCAGTCAGACATCCTTAGCAGATGGATTAGCTCCAGCCACTGCCCTGCACTCGCCAGCCTTGAGCCCGGCTTCTGTCTGAGCAGTGTTCTCTCTGTGGGAGCGCACTGACTACCAGGGGGCAGCTTCTTCGTTGAGCGTCTGCCCCCTGGTGGTCAGTGTGCATCATAGCGACCAGTCGTTCCGCCATTCGGTTGATTTGCGTATTAGGCTTTTATTATATAAGATGTTGTACAATGTCAATTATGTATCAATTAAAACTCAATATTGCTCATGAAGAGGTTTGGTTCTTGGGTTCTGATTATACAATCACACACTCTCTCATTCATTTAGCCAAAGTCTGCCAACTATCCATCCATTCAAATATTCAACAAATGTTTAGTCTGTGTCTACTATATGTCAAGTTCTGTGAAAAGCACTGAGTGTACAGTCATGAATAAGACAAGCATGGTCTCCACCCTCACAGCTTATGATCCCATGGGTAAAGCAGACCCAGAACAAGTAATTGTCAAGTGTAAATACTAGTAAAAAAAAATTCAGGGAGCTATGCGAGTGCATCACAAGAGACCTTAAACGTCTGTGGTGTGTGTGTTTAGGGGCTCAATAATTTGGTCCTAAATAAATTATACTGCATCTATATGTTAGAATAAGAAAGTCCTTAAAAATGTTTTGGAAGATTCTTTAATGACATGGAAAGAGAATCATGGTATAGTAAATGAAAAAAAAAAAAGGTTACAAAATGGTATGTACAGTATAACTCCATTCTTATTAATATATAATAGGTGTCTGCAAAGAAAAATGACCTAACAGTTAACAATTATCTGAGTATACAGCATTAAGGGTGGGGGAGGTTACTTTGTGCTGTCCCTACTTCCCTTCCCCTCCCCCAGATTTTCTGTAATACACACATCTTGCTTTTCACTAAGAAAAAGAATTTAAAAATTCATCAAGATGTTATTTTTGCCTAATAATTTGGCAAATGTTATTTCAAAGGACAATACACAGTATTGGTAAGGATTTGGGGTAAATCAACATTCACAAAATGTACCCTGCTAATGGTAGTATCATTTGCTACTAACGGCATCATTATAAACTCGGCAAAACAAAAATCCTTAAAAACACAGGAAGTATTTTCACTTCTAGGGATGAAGAAAATCATTAGGGATAAATGCAAAAAAATGCATATATAAACCCAAATGTCTATTTTTAAGTACATGGTTAAATAAGTTACTACATCAGTATGAGCCAATCCTAAATTATTAATATTAAAAATCACATTGCAGGATACTCATGGACATAGGTCAGTATTATCAAGGGCAGAAGAGTAAATATTATGCCCCATATAATACTGATTTAATATGAAAATGTATTCGTTTCCTAGGGCTACCATGACATATGCCCACAAACTGGGTGGCTTAAAACAGAGGCTAGCTGGTAGGGTGGCTGCTTCTGGAGGCTCCGAAAGAGGGTCCCAGCATCTGGTGGTTGCTGACAAGCCTCGGTGTTCCTTGG